TAGGGATTTATATGATTTTGGGACACTCAGCTACAGTGGTGACAAGGACCACATAAGTATGTAGCTAGACAGATACAATTGCAGTTCAATTCAGCTACCCTTTGCAGTCTACATACTTAAATTTCCCCCTGCAATTTCAACTAGATGTGGTATCTCCGTGCAAAGCTGTGTTGCTGGGCATCATTTTCACATGAATTCTAAGCTGGGATTTGAAGTGAAGGTGAGTCTGACCCTTTTCCCTGACGTGATGCCTACAGCCCCAATTTAAATGGCTTCATTAATATTTTATAAGCAAATAATGCCCTTACCAGTACCACTCATGCCTTCCTTTTTTACTGGCACGTTATTAAGCATATAATAAATCCAACAGCTGATGCCACAAGAAGCTATTGGATTTAAGCCCATCTGAACATGTAGCTATTAAGACAGCTCCTGCCCCTTTGTGTAACAAATGGTTCTTGGTTATTACAGAGAGCTGCACAACTTCACCTTCGCATGGAGTTTTCCTCAGAGAATCCCCAGCGGAAGGTGTTTGCTGCGGCTTGAGCCCTGGGAAATGCTCTTACTCCATTAGCCCTGCTGCACTTGTTCATTTTTTTTTTTTTTAGTGAACCCAAAGAGCAGGAAAATGTATCTTTCCAGCCACGCAAGCAGGAATTAGCTTGACTGTACTTTACACATAAACTAACAAATGAGGGGAGAATCTGAGCAGCCCCCAGGGACCTGAATTTGTTTGCCACTGGGCCGTTCTATCTGCAGCTGGCATCGACGGAAACCTGAGTGCTCCATTAAAGCTCGGCAGCCTCTATTCGCCGGGGCGCAGGGCAAACAGAGCCAGCCTGTTCTGCAGACAGACTGACGGCCTTTATCTCCCCCCACCCGGCTCGCAATGGGAAATGATGAGACTGAAACAAAAAGCTTGAATCGAGGACTCCTGGCTCGTACCCTGCACCTGTTGTACTGGTGAGGAGTGGAGACACAAGGTTGCTTTTCAGGGGCCTAGCGGTGGGAAACTCGTTTGAGAGCAATGCATTAAGCCTGGGTCAGGGCTAACCTTTGAGTACTGATGGGGATGAGCATGCATAGCTCTTTCCCCAGCCCTGGCTGATGATCAGAAATTAGGGAACCATGAGTGTCTACATTGTAGAATCCCTGGGAATTGCTGCTCTAGTTACAAACATGGAGGACATGGGGGCAGTAACCTATGCTGCCCCCACCCCTTCAGCCATGTCCATGGATTAATTCCTTTCAAAGTCTTAAACAAAAGAAAAGGAATTAATCCTCTCCCCTCCCCTCCCCCCATGCACCCTCTTGCAGTTAAGATTGTCATTAAAATGAACAGACCTGTTCTGTCAGAAAGACAGGTAACTGTTCATTACCTTATCTGATTCTTTAACCCGGTAGCTGCCAAACAGAAAGGAACGATATATGTTTCTAGTGGGGAGCTGTTAATTATTTGAATTGCTGAGAAACCTGAATAATCCACATCCATGACTAAATTTTAGAATTGAAAGGCTTTGAGTTTATCCTTGTATATAAGTAATATTCGAGCAATTGGACAACTGCCATGTTTGTGTGTCTGTGTGTTCATTATTGCAAATCCAGGGCAAGTGGCCTTTCAAATGTCCTTCAGCCCCGAAGAGTCTAGATCCAAGAGGAGTTTGCTGGCAAATATTCAGACTATCCAAATTATAGCTGTGTTAGTTCTGATGGACCAAGGCGCATCTCTCGGTAGAATAAAATGAAGGGGCTTATGAGTTTAAAATTCAAATATCAATCTTGTATGTCTCTCTGTTAGCGGGAGGGAGGTGGCTGGCTGGGGACCTAACAAGAATTCAGCTGCAGTTACACCTGTGTTCTGCTCACTGCTACGCTATCCCTTTGTTCCACATACTGGGTGTATAATCAATAGTTTAGCACGTGGGGCAGCCAGTGAGTTGCCGTGTCTCGGATACCTCGAGGCCATGCTTTGTACACTGACCCAGTGATAGTATTTAATAGTCTTTTGCCACTTTCTTTGAGAGTCTGGGTCATTGCTTCTCTTTGATTGCCATCCATTAGCGCAACTGTCTGGGTCATATGTGGGCTGGTTTAAAGCAACCTTAGGTTTTGGGGATATCCTTGGGACTTGTGCATAATCTCGTTTCCTCCTCAATCACAGCTGATTTACCAAGGTACTTTGTGTGTCTCCTTCCTAACCAGCCTCCTCCTGCTTCTTGGTTCCTTCAATGGAGTTTCTAGTCACGGGGCTCTCCCAGTTGCAATCAGGACAGTGGTTTGTTATGTCACAAAGGCTTGTGAGTAGAGCTGAGCAGCACAAATACACTGTAACTTTTTCTTTTGCACCCTACATTAGGTACCAGTCAAATGTCAGGCCTATTTCTGGTCCTCCTAAGTCGTGAATGGATCAGGACCGAGTTGTTTCAATGGCTGTTCTCTATCCACTCCTGTCCTGGTCAGCTACATT